GCATGTATGCATGTATGCATGCATGCATGTATGTATGTATGTACGTATGTGTGTATGTATGTATGAATGTATGTATGTATGTATGTACGCATGTATGCATGTATTTGTGCATGTATGTAGGGGTGTGTGTGTATATGTATTTATGTATATCTATACCTATATCTATATCTATATCTATATCTATATCGATCTACATACATACATACATACATACATACATACATACATGACTATGACTATGACTATGACTATGACTATGACTATGACTATGTCTATGTCTATGTCTATGTCTATGTCTATGTCTATGTCTATGTCTATGTCTATATATATATATATAGATATTTCACCAATATGCACTGATGGCCCAATTGATCGCGGGATTTAGGATGCAAAGTGTTGCGTAAGCTTGGGTTGTTCTTGAAAAGCTTCAGAAAGAAGCTTGGGATTTCCCACAAGCGAGCCTTTCGAAAGATGTCTCGCAGCCTCTGGCTCACGGATCTTGCCACGCTGATCTTGCGACTCCTGGAGGTTTAGGATTCCCATTTCGAGCTTAAGGTTTGAGGTTTAGGGTTATGTTAGGGCTTAGGCAGGGTTCGGGTTCTCAGGTTGCCACAAGCTCACGGGGCTTTAAGTTAGGGAACTCCTTAGTTTGTGCCAGATCCAACGGGCATATAGAGCAGCTGATACTCCTTCCCTCGTTCTAACACGAGCCGAGTCTCATGATGTGTGTTGCCGACCGCAGGCTCGAGCAGCACCTCCGTTGCACCTCACAAAAAATGCGGGATTCTGGTCCCAGGGCTCTCGATGTTCTTCGATGGATGGTTACCCCAGAAGCACGATGAAGGAATCTAAGTTGTTTGAGCTGCCAAGACTGCCAGACCTCTTTGCATCTTGCACGACCAACCTCCAACTCCCCCACTCCGCCATTTACTCATCACGTCCTGGTAAACTTGCCGTGGCTCGGTGCTCATGCTGGCGCTTATACCGCACCCGAATCCGAGATCACAACCCACACATCACAGGTTCTGCTCCGTGGCGGTGGGGCCAGGATGTGCAACCAATGCAACAGTTCAGCAAGCCACACCAACACTACAGACAGACTTGAATCGCTTCGTGCTGTCTAGCATAGAACCTCGACTGAATCAGCAACTACTGACAGGCTCCAAATATTAAAAACCCTACCTGAATCAATTCCCAAATATGTCTGCTAGCCGCTCAACCCCGAAGCCTGAACTCTGCGGCAATGCTAAGAACCAAACTCTAAAACAGTAAGCCCCAAGACCCACACCCAAGAAACCCTACAAAACCCTTTTCAACCTCTGCATGACCTCTACGGAGCACTTTGCAACCCTCTGTTTCATTGCCTCCTCGCACTGGACCTCTGGATCGATCTGTGGATCCAGACCATACAAGCCATCCTCCCTCTCGAGCGCCTCAGGAGAATTTAGATTCGTTTTGCAGTAGTAAGGCTTGCGGTTCTGTCTTCTATTCGGCTTTCGGCTCTTAAGGTATAGGTTTGGTTAAGGTTCAAGCTTTTTGGTGTTTAACTGTTCTTGGTGTTTAGCGTGATCCTTCAGTTTAAGATTTCGGGTCGAAAAGTCCAGCCCGGTTTTGAGGTTTTGGCTTGAAAACTCAAGGTTTAAAGGCCTTAAGGATATGGATTTCAAAGCTTAGGGTCTTGGGGTTTGAGGGTGTCTGGGTTTAGAGGTTCATGCCTTTCCTGGCAACCGGACAAATGAACCCTCAAGAACTAACCCATAAACCTGAACCCTAAAACTCTGAACCCGCAAAGCCGCTGAATCCTTAACACTTGAACCCTGAAGCCCGTAGCCCCCGCCCCACCCTACTCCCGTCCCCCGCCTCAACAAGTTCCCACAGCAGCTTCCCACTCACTGCCATGGCTTTGCCTCTCACGTCTTAACTGGAAGATGGCTAATCGGCAACAGACCCTCACGTATCCATACCGCCGATGAACAGGTGACCTTCTCTCTGTCCTGACCGGCTTTCTAACAGTAGTCACGATCCTTCGATCCTTTATGCAGGGTCTCGTGCTGATGCTATTCCTAGGCATCCTCAGCGACACAAAGAGCCTGCATCGAGAAGTGCAATGACCAGCACGACTCTGACGCTCTTCGCCGTCGACATCAGGCTTGCCGAAAAGAAGAGGCTCAAGAAAAATGCCGCGAGCTTTACCTCGACCAGCAGATACCTTTGGAACTCGTCGCGACTCGGTGCGCTTGACAGCAATGGTGCAAGGGGTACTTTACTTACACACGCACCACGTCTCCCACTTGTGGAACGATCTATATTCCACCTTCATGTGTCCTAAACCACGCGAGCAAACGACATAGCAAAGACTCTGAAGCTGGGGTGCTTTGGCACGCCGAAGTGGTCTGCAATCTTCTGGGTAATCCAAGCGACAAAGGCGACTAAGACACCAATCCCAAGGGTGCTCGCTGCCTCTGTGTGTGTGTGTGTGTATGTGCGCTTGTCCTACTACTTAGTCCTACTTTCTGCCCTTCAGAGTCAAGGTCCGGCATTTCGGGTTCGGAGTTTGAACAAAAAAATACTACTAGTACCAGGTTCACCATGATGGCGAAAAGATGTTGTACCGTTTTTGAATGATTACTTGCTAGGAAACATTCAATGTTTGAGGACTTTGGTTTTGGCCTCCACACCCCATGGATCCAGACCCCCAGGATCCAAGATTACTGATGTCAAACTCACGATGGCGAGACGTTCATCATTGCTCATGATTTGGACGACGATGCTGCTCCAGATGGTACCCCTGGTGGTGATGACGACGTGAGGATGCGGAGGTTGATGCGATGATGCTCAGGATGATTACGAGGCTGAGCATGAAGATGATGACGCCGATGGTAACATGCTGACAAGACCGATAAATATGGCGACGAAGTGCAGTTTGATCTGTCTTATTGACCAGGCTTGCATTTGTTGTAGCTGTTGTTGCTGCTGTGCTATTCGCCTTGTCTAACTTGTCATCGGAATCATGACTCCTTTTGTGCTGTTTCGGGGTGAGGGCTGACGGTGAGCCTATAATATAACTAGTCATAACAATCAACATAGAAGTTTAGTGTGCCAGTGATAGAGAACCACGACGATTACAGAGGTCTACGTTAAAGCTGAGAGGCCGGGCTCCCGGCGTCTTGAAGTCCTTCGGAACCATCCACCAGTAGACATATATCGAGCCGAAGAGGGCAGGAATACAGGAAAGAATCGGAGCCGCTGGAATAGGGTACCTGAGATTCCGGTACAAGACGTATACAGATCGTGCATTACGAACCCAAGTCGCAGGATGAAAACATGCAGAAACTCCGAAACCCAGGCGCATTCCCGCAAAGGCGAAGATGAGGTGGGCCAGCAGGCACAGAGGTGGGTCGACAAGTGGTGCAAGTCGAACGATCCAACGGATCCGGGCTCGTTCCTGGTGGGTGAAGGCGCGAGTGATGACCTCAATCTGCCCTCGGGCAATGACATAGTTGAGGACTGGATGGGCCTGGGCTGTTGTCCGAGGACCTTTCAAGACTCTATTCTTGCTGATAAGCTAGGCAAGCGCAGAAAAAGCATGAAACCAGAGCGGCCTGGGTGCTAGAAGGTTGAAAGTCCAGTTGCCCCAAAACCCCCTCTCAGGGGATGATAATGGGATGACGGTGCAAGCAAGGAAGCTGCAGAAGGGCACTGCTATCCTTGGTTCTTGTTAAGTGACTTCATGTAAGTCTCCAGAACAAAGAACAGGATATCAGTTATTCCTTACATCCCTATTACCCCCAAGTCTTGCAGCTTAAAGCCATGTCCCTCAACAAGAACCCAGAATCAGAAGGCTGGCCATAATGACAAAGCTTTCCAAAAGCCGGCGTAGCCCTGACTTCCCGTCGATGCAACGATCCTGCAGATATCGCTTCATCCTTACTGCGGGCCCCCAGTTTAGACTTCCGCTCAAACTTGCAGAAAACTACGGCTTAAACATGAGAGCCGAATCGTATTGGAGAGCTAAGCATCTGGACCTCAATGACATCGTCCAGCTGACCCTTCAGCTGCTTGAGCGGCGTCACCGTGTTTGTGGGCCCTATCTGAAAGAAGGTCAGATCATTGATGGATCCGAGGGGCGGTGCACGACCAGCAAGCCATGCTCTCAGGGCTGAAATGCAGAAACACTTGGGAAGCTTTCCGCCTTGATCCCTCTCCCTCTCACGATGGCTTTGCTTGCGCGATGCATTGCACGATACAGTTTTCTTCGACTCCGGGGCTTCGCTAATTTTGCCGCCGACTTCCACGCCATCTTTGCATTCACCTGCGGGTAGCAACGCTAGTTTTATGTCTGTCGGTCTCGCGTTGGGGCGATTTCAGGGATAGTGAGAGAGCATGTGAACTGTCTGTCATCGCTTCACCAAGAAAAACCCAAGCCCAAGTTGATGTCCCACCTGGCAGGTCCACACCGCTATACCTTGGCAGGGAGCATCGCTGCTGAAGGATGGCTACAGTTTGAGCCCTGCTTTACCCTATACCTGGAACCCCCAAGTTCATGCAATGCCAGATGCTGCAGAAGGCTGACTTCAAGTACTGATCCTGTTAATGCAATCCCATTTGCGCTCCCGGAGCCCCCCTCTTTGTAACCTCAGACCCCGAACCCATTGACCCATGTAATCTAACTTAGTCAAGCCTACAGGCGTAACATGGCGTAACTCTAAACCCAACCTGCGCCACCCTCCGTTCTCAAAGGCAGCTTCACGAAATACGGTACCTCATTATACTGACATATTTTGGATTTTAAAGCCTAAATAAAGGCCAGCACAACCACTCCAAAGATCCCTCGTCCCGAAGTCTCGAAAATCCCTCCAAACCTCCATCCCAAGCAAAACAGGAGAGCGGAAGCACAACGTTGACCCAAAAGCAAAGCCGGGGCTCCTGTCGATGGAAGTGGACTTGGACGTGCCGAGCCTCGAAGACTCCGGCAGGCCCAGGGCTACCATGGCCGCCATGGCCCATAGAATCGCATGGCTAAACAAATGCCCCTTTTTCAGGCCCGTTGGGGGGCCTCTTCTCGAAAAGCTCCCGGAAAGCTTTCCAGGCATTTAGGGAGGCTTCTTTAGGCGGGCGAGTGTGTTTTATGCTACGTTGGCAGGGCCCGGGAGATCGAGCTCACATGAGCGCCTTCATGTGCTGCTTTCTTCATGGCGTAAACAGCCTGAAAACCGCAGAGCAAAAGAAGAAATGCCAAGAGCGCTGTCTGGGTCTCACGGGTTTTTAGGGTTTAAGGCTTCGCCATCACCGGGAACCTTCAACACCGTACCAAGCAAGCACTATCAATAAGCAGAAGCCTAAACTCCTGGAAACATGTTCAGAGGCGTGCAGAGTGTGTTTTATAGGGTATAGTATAGTAGAGCTAGAAAGAAAGACTGACCATACGGGGACATTACGAGCAAGTGATTCGGACCACCGGCCCATTGTGGTGTCCCATGTAAGGGACCAAAATGTGGACGAAGCAGTTCTTCAAACCATGCTATGCTCTGCACGTCGCTGAGGGTTCAGTGCCGAAAGGCCTTAGGGTTTTGAGTTCAAACGCTCAACCTAAACTTCCTATTCCTTTGAAACAGATAAGCCCCGCAAAATCCTAAACCCTGGAGCAAGATCTCAGATGTCTTCATGGAAAGTCGCTTCAGAACTTGCTAAACGGCTCGAGAACTCCCGAGACGTAGCAACTCCCTGCAAGAAGGAATTCCCTGAACCGAAAGCCCGTATGCCTGGAACGAAAGGACTTTAACCGCCGACCAACCTTAAGCCTTCCGTGTAGGTTTTGACTCAACACTTCCTGAAGCCCGAGATCAAGGGCGGATTAACCACCGGTGATGAGATCCAAAGAACCCCCTTTCTAAAGCGAGTCTTCTCATGGTGGGACAACCAATCGGAAAGAACTGGGGTAAGGTATTGCAGTTGGGGTTGCTTAGAACACTCCCAACGGGGAGCTCCTCCTCCAAGCACAGCTCAAAGAAGCGATTGTTTGGGCTTCAAACTGCCTTTCTCCAAAACATTTTGAGATTCAATTTCTAGCGGTCGTGGGCAACCTGGATCGAAGCATAGGCATAGAGCAGTCGCACACGCTGAAACCTGGCCACTGTGAGCCTTTGGGTAGCTTTAATTTCAGGGGTTCAGGGCCCAAGGGCCGACATGCGCAGAGCAGGCCTGCAACACCTCAAGGACACTTCGTGATAAGACTCCTAGAGCAAGCAGCCCCAAGACATGTCTCTCCCTGACCCTAGAGCCCTTCAAACATGCCTTAAGCTCAATCCCAAACCCAATTCCTGAGCCCGAAATCCCAAAACGCAGAGCTGGGAAAAGTCTGGGAAATACCGAAATAATTCCGCTGCCCCACCCATACCAATTCATCCACGCAGCGCTGTTGCTTCTCGGCATCCACCGGCGTCAGCTTTACGCTGCAACCCGTGCAGTCCGCCCCTGTCCACCAGCCAGGCTCGGTAGCTCGGTGGGGGGTTTCTGGACTCGACCTTCTGTTGTACTACTACTGTTTACTACTACTACTACTACTACTACTACTGCTACTGCTACTACTACTACTACTACTACTACTACTAGGCATACGGTTGG